AGGAGGGAAGGGGGAGTGCATGAGGGTTGTCATGGTAACATAACAGGCTATGAGAAACATCCCCTATCTTAACTTACGAGTTTGGATTGAGTGTCGTACAACAAAACCAAAGTAACCAGAACAACCAAACGCATGAGGCGCGGGAAAAGGTGCAGGGATTGGGAAGGCCGTGCGCCATGCGCATATGGCGCAAAAATTTTTAAAATGTCGCATTATAAAACTGGTTACCGAGCCCAACATGCGCCCTAGTCGCGTAATAGGTGATAAACAGTTCAATCTGTGTATTCGTTTTGTGTTACAACAAATAAAATAATGAAATATTGAGTGGTGTATTTGCTTCTTCGATCGGCAAACTTTCGTGTTCGTTTAATTTCTTCCCCAGACCTCTACTCGCGCTCAGTTCGCAAACGAGGTTCTGCCGCGGCAAGACATGAGCTTTGTGTTCCCGGGGCTTGTGTAAGGAATTCATTTCTTTTGCATTTCAAATCAAGATAATGCCTCCGAAGAAACTACCGAAGTTAGATAGTACTTAAGGCCAAAGAAAACTTTCAACTTTTTTTAACATGGAATCGAACGCCGAGTCGGTCGAGACTAATCGCGACGAGTTTGAAGGACTACGTATCATGAATTGCACATTATGATTTCGGTATTCCTTTTCATCCGGCCCATACTTTTACCAAATGGCCCATAACTTTTCAAAGTTAGGGGCCATAGGCCTATTTGTCTCTTTTGCCTTCCCAATCCCTGAAGGTGAGAGACCAAGCCGTGATTTGTTTCATTTTTTTATCTGTGATTGGTTAAGAGGAGGGGCGCGAGTTCTCAGAACCAATCACAGAGCAAAATAAAACTAAATCAAAGCAAACTAGGATAACTTTTGACACGCAATTCAAAATTGCTCTAATGTACCTGTGACTCAAAAACTTCATTATGAGATGCTTAAGACACAACAGTATCGCCATAAAGACTTTGTAGCATCTGGGAAAATACCTACTTATGCGATTCTCTTAAAAATGGACAATGGCTGTCATCATTCATTAAATGATGGGTTGCTGAGAAATTATAAAATCGTTCTGAGCCATCTTAAGGGCGGTTTTCTTGAGGACACAAGCGTAAGTCCAAGCTTCATGCTACAAAAAGTGGGATACACTTTGACAGTGGGGGTTAGGTTACTGGTTAGCAGGCTTTATCTTTGATCAGCTATACTATAGGAAATGTTAACTACCTCTGTATTTCTTCACAATTCTAGCTAAGTACTGATAACCCATCTGATAACTCACGTACATGGCTTTCTGGCAGGTAACAGTTCTGCAGTTAAAGCCTTGTTACTGTCCACAAAGCGTAATAAAGGAGAAAACGGTGTCTACCTTTAGCAAACCTATTCTCTATATCGTCGGTATGCCTCACCTTGAGGAAACTTTTACACAGGGAGTATAGCCTTCCTGTACACGATTCGCGGAATGGGTGACTAGAATCGATTCCGTTGTCTTCAAGGGTATTTTGGACCACTTGTCGGAGGCGCTACAAAAGAAGCAAAAGTGTACGACATTTTTTTCTCCTCTTATGGTTAATTTTACAATATTTGTTTTTTCCTGGGAGCAGGGTTCTAGAAAGAGTGACAATTTCTTGTGTATGTACCGGATTTCGATTCAGTTGTTCCTAAGGCTAAACGCAAAAAAAAAAAATGAGATAAGGAAAGGAAGAAAAGAGAAAAAATAAAGCAAGAGGTACATATAAGCCACTCTTAATTCAAAACTAGTAACCGTTTTGTAACACTCATTATACCCGCGGATGATGCGTCAAAGCAGAGACAGGAACAATATTCAGTTTATCAAAGCTAATTACACATTCACCGTGTGCACTTCATTTTATTTTGTACTCACTCTCTTGTGCCTCTCTGAACGAGTTTCTTTCATCTTGACATCATTTTTGTCACTGCCTTTACTCTCTAGAGAACCAAAACGGTGAGAGAGAAATGAACAAAAATAATAAAATACATACGCAACAACAAGTAGTCAGTTAATTTGGTTAGGCAGGGGACATTAAAGAACCCACTCACGAGATTACTGTGATGTTGTCTGGCCTGTTTACTGGGAATTAGGGGGGAGGGGGCATCTTCAAATAAGTTTCCTTCGATTGTTTGTAAACTGCTGATGCAGTCCGGCCAAAGTCCCCCGAAAAGTGTTGTGATGCGCATTTGATCGTATCCACATGTTAATTTGCGCAATATAAACATCAAATTATTATTATTATTATTATTATTATTATTATTATTATTATTAACAACAATATTAATTTTTTACTTCCCCCCCTCTCTTTCCCCCGCCATTATTTCCGCTTTTTCTTTGTATTTTCATCAACACTTCAAGCCTCCAAACTGACAAAGAATAATGAAAGAAACAAAGAAACAATGTTTGTCTCCAATCCTGACCATAAAATTAATGCTAGGGTGGAAAGAAACATCTACGTTTAAATTTCACGATTCTTCGGAAAGTTTTAGCCCCGTCTTTCCTTTCTACAAGCACAATGTAGAAACTCACGCACCACCTTTGATACCTACACGGAGCCGTTAGGGGGAGGGGGGGGGGATTGGCTGTTTAACCTTTACAAACTTCAAAGACCAGAAAAGAGAATAGACGGAAGCCCTGATGCCGCATGAATTGTCGACTCAGTAAAAACTCGGTAAAATACCTCCCACTTTTTCTTCCTCCCTTTTTCTTTTTTTTCCAACTGTTGGCGCTTTTACAAGTGGTGATTTCCTCTTCAACAACCTCGAAGAACTAGGATGTAGAGGGGACAAACAAAACTGAATCAAAAACACAAATCAACAGTCTCTTAAAGAATATGATTCTAAACACCTCCGTTACATCTCGGTACGACTCCACCCCTCATAGCTTAGATATCGATGTGTTACATGTTGCATCATTGCTACGCTCTTTGCAAGCCTGCCAAGAATACGGTATATCAGTGTTACACACTGTGATCAACTCGGTACTCCTTGGCTAAATTCCGCGGGTCTCAGCGACCTCCTCGCTAAAATTCTACACGAAATGTTTAAACCCTCGTGCGTCTCTCTGTCAGTGTCGCTCGTGAGGCCATCGTTAAAATTTGGCACTTATCACTCAAAACTACTACATTCAAATACGTCTCGTAATCTTTACGTGGCATTCATGGGTGATATTATGGAAAGAAATTAGATGCAAGTCCAGGGCTGTTGTCTAGCAGCGCCCGGTGGCCCCTGGCGCCTTACTTTTGCTCTTGGGCGACTCAGGATGTTATAAAAAGCATATGCTGGGAAACATGGATTTCCCAGTTAAGTTTCAGAGTACTGGGCTCCCTTCAATTTTCCTTAGAGCACAACCTTGAAGTCCCTCAAAGGGTTTTAAAATTTCTTTTCTCTCTCGACTCAGACTTGAACGTCGTTGTCGACGATTAATTTATACCTACATCATTCAAAAGTAATACTTCCAAAACATCGCGATCTAACCTTCTAATCGAGGCAGCAGTTTCCTTTCTTTTTCTTACAGTCACTGCTCGACTCACGGGTAGCGAGAGCTTCATCAAACTTGATTTCTTGTCTCTTTTTGCTGTACTGGTCACAGCTCGTGTACCTCGAGTTTCCAGTGTCTTGTTGTCTGTTTGCACACACGATGATAATGTCTCGTTTTTCACGAGCGAGGACTGCAGATGCGAAAGCTGTAGGTCTTTAGAAATGGCCTGACGAACCTCAAGGCAATATCTGGCGTGATTATGATACAAAAATTAAGCGAAAAAATCAGTTGGATTCGCTACATTTGAATAATTAAAAAAATAGAGATGAGTTCGAGAAATATAAAGAAAGATGAGTTGAAGTACTGCATCCGAAAATCAAACTTTTATAAAAACTATTACTACAACAACAGTGACTGGAAGAAATAATAATATTTTTCATAATTCTTCACCGAGCTCAAAACTTACCATCTTTCTCATTCTTTACAAGAGTAATGTTATTTGTGAAAGTGTAGTGTGATCGTCCGGGTGAGTGTAGTCCTGAAAAGGACTGTTGTCGGTGGTAGTGACTAACGTTTCGACAACCAGTGAGGAAGTCATCATAAGAGTCAAGTGAAAAGTTGTTGTCAAAGTTCAAAATATATTCACACGGACAAATACCCAAAACATTTATCGAAACTGTAACTCTTCAGCTACAAAAGCCTTTCCCCTTTAATTCAATTATTCCTTCAATGTTATGTTTAGGGAAACCTACTCGATGCCGTGATAAGATGCTCCAAGGGCTTCTGGGTAACACTTTTCCCTCACTTCTTCAGTACCTGCGGAAGCACACGGCACACGTGAAAATTTAATCAATTACCACCATAAGTCCTACATCACCACCTAACACTACTAGTTCTGCTACTGCGCGCAGTGAAGAGTGGCTCAGTGAGATTTAAATGTAGGGTCCAAGATATATCATAACGCCCGGGGTTTGGCTCACACCCAGACTCCAGCGTGGTACTCAAATGAGGCCATTGTTTATTCCTTCGAACAACTTAGGATAACGAGCGATGGATTAAGCAATTTTCAATCGAGTGTCGAAAATAATTCGGGATTTTTTTGGTTTTGATTCCTGCGCCCTGTAATTGGTCCCCTAAAATAGAGCCACATTCCCAACCAATCAGATTCAAAACTAAAGCGAGTCACGTGTTGGTCACTAGCGTTTTCCCGCGCCTTAAGCGACTAACTTGTTTTCACTTTGAGTTCACATTCAGCAAAAGAACTAAACACGTTGTAAAAACTTACTTCCTCTGTCTATTTGTATGTGCCTTTCACTTGAGCTCCGCTCCTAANGTAAGACGGAAAGATAACGAAGAGTGTTAGAAACACTTCTCTGCCAACGGCAAGAGTTGTGCTATCTGCTTCTGGGCCGTTTTTGCAATAAATATTCAACAATTATTCCACGAGCGCTTGTTGGATATGAGATGATTATAGCCAACGAGGCGCGTAGCACCGAGTTGGCTATAATCATCTCATATCCAACAAGCGCTCGTGGAATAATTGTTGAATATTTATTGCAAAAACGGCCCAGAAGCAGATAGCACAACTCTTGCCGTTGGCAGAGAAGTGTTTCTAACACTCTTCGTTATCTTTCCGTCTTACCCTCAGCTGAAGAGGAACGAGGTCACTCCTCACAGGTGTTCCGTCCATACGAAACTTCTCTAAAATGTCTTGAATACTCAGTGAAGACACTCAAACAAAAAGATAAAAAAGGGGAAAAAGCTATTTAAAAAAATGTATGGTTGAATGGGCGTGTTAAGTAAATTCACTCCAATTTGCTAAAAATGGGTTAAAAACAAAAAATGTGAAAATATAGTTTTACAGTTAGACTGTAACTTTTCTCATAAATTGCCATTAGACCACAGCTGGCAGAATTCTCTGACATTGTTACGAGCCCTTTTTTAAAAGTAGTTTCAAAAGAACACAGTGTTGAAACGTATTTCCAGATTTTCCAGATAACTTCATGTTTAACATTCGAAGAGGGTGTACTTTCACATACCAATCTCTTTTTCGAGAAATCGTTCTATACACTTTGCAGGTGTAATTTTATTTTAAAATAATTCTAGAATAAAATTGCAGTTGATCTCACCTGATTGTAATGAGGAAAGGACCACGTTAATAACCTACCTGATGTGAACGATTGAAAATGTTTAGTTGACTCGTCTGTGACGGAATCATTAATCCTGTAAGATGAAACAAACAAACAAACAAACAAACAAAAATTTCTTTTAGCGAGGTGAGGATACATCAACGTCACTGTGAAAAGCTAGTAGCGAGCTTAAGATCCGACGATGGCAAACATCTGGGACGGTAAGCGGAAGTGAAGTTACCTTCAGAATTACTTCCGTTTGCCGTCGTTGTGAGGTTTCCCGCCGTAGCGGCCTTGTCTGTGACGTGAAGAAAGCCATTTTGCCGTCGCAGCTAAAACGTGAGTAAACCTGAGCAAAATAATGCCATTTTAACTTACTTTGGGCGAAAATTGTTGGCAATTTTAACAGTTTATTGTTATCAGAG